CGGCTTCGGCACCATGAGCCATGCTGGGTGGCCGACAACACAGGGCCGACCCAGAGCTGACAGGCTGAGGGGGCCTTGTCGCGTTGTCCTCCCTACACTACATGGGCCCCCAGGGTCCTTGGGCTCTGCATCTCCAGATTCAACGAACTGAGAGCCGAGAATATTCAAAGGGGAGAATGCACCTCCGCTTGGGTGTGTGCACTCCCTTTCCATCTCCTGTTCCTTACTGGTGCTTTGCGTGAGTGCTGCACTGTCTCTCTCAGGGGCTTGAGCAGCCTCCCAGTTGGGTGTCCACTGGGTCCGGGCTCCTGTCCCCACTGCACCGGCACACACAGGTCCTAGAATTGGCTGCCTGAGTCATCACCTCTCTGTTGGCCGGTCCCTTGAGCAGTAGCTCTGGTGTGGACTGCAGGATGTGAGGGTCTCAGCTCCCAAGGAAAGGCAGGAACTCCAGGCCTAATTCGTCTTTGCTTTAGTTCCTATCCTGTGCCTTGGCAGTGACAATCCAACTGCCAGCATGACCCAGAGTCCACAGGTGACAGCTGCCCATTTTCCCCCCAGTACTGGGGATTCAACCCAGGGATTTGACACTGATCTGCATGTCCAGCCTTTTTATTCTGAAACAGGGTTTTGCTAAGTTGCCCAGGCTGGGCTTGAACTTGTGATCTTCCTGCCTTGGCCTTGCAGAGTGCTGGGGTTACAAGCCTGTACCACTACACCTGGCTACAGCTGTCACTTTTCAAAGCAAGTTGGGTTTACACTGAATTTGAAATAATTCCCCTCAGGTACTGAATCTGAGCTGCAGACCAAGGGGTGTTTCTGCTATAGAGAGTTAGAAATTTGGTGAAAGGAGTTTCCTCAGGCTCACTGTTGGAATCAATCCCTGCCCTTTATGTCATGCATGTGTCTCTTCCATTTAATCCTCCTCGAATTGTAGCATGGGGCAGCGATAAGACTCTTCCTGCTCTGGTGATGGAATAGGGTCCTTTAGCAGTGAAGGCTTCTTCCTGTGTCACCTTTATGCAAAAACTGGGTCTCTTCTTGCTGCACCATTTCTTTTTAGGCCCTGGCTTTTCTTTTAAAATTTATTTTTGAGTTTTGGAGTCAGAGTCTTACAGTGTAGACCAGACTGGCCTTGAACTCACCATGTATCCCAGGCTGGCCTCAAAGTCATAGTGATCCTCCTGCCTCAGCCTCCCAAGTACACCACCAAGTAAGTACCCAGAAGGGCCTGGCTTTAAAAACTACCTGTTCAGGGCTGGGGATTTAGCTCCGTGGCACTGCACCTGCCTTGCAAACATAAGGTCCTGAGTTTCGACCTCGGTACCAAACAGAAAAAAGGTGCCCTTTCGTACCTCCTGGAAGGAAAGCTCCCTCTGCCACTGAGGCCCAGAGCCAGCAGGACTGGGCCCTGCCTCTCCTGGAAGCAGCGGTACCTCCACGCCCTGTCTCCCACTTCCAGAACAGGCCCTGGAGACAGGACGGCCCTTGGTGACACTGAGGACATCTAGCTCTGCTTGTGAGGCCCCTCCAGGCACAGTGTGTGCCTGGCACACCCTCCACGGGGCCGGGCACACAGCTGCCACTGTGACCTTGCCTGGGGCCTGGAGGCTGGCTGGGTGCCCCCAGCTCCTCTGTGCAGGGATTGGGGGCCCACTTCGGACTCCCCCACCGTGCTCCCCTTTTGTGCAGCAGCGTCCGCTGCCACCTGTTGTTAATCTAGCCCGTAATCCATGCTGCACTGTGTCAGCAGTTCAAAAGGGCACTGTTAGTATTTTTTGCCGACTTCAATTAACGTGAGATTTCAGAGGCCCCTCTGATCACATTTCCTCTGTCATAAGTCGGGAACAAAACAGACAGATTCCAGTTGAGGGGAGGAAGGAGAAGGAGTTTTATTGCAAACAACAACAGCCAAACAGACGCTCTGGGCTGTGGTGGGTACTGGGCGCATCCAGCTGCCCCTGCCCTGCCCCGCACCCCGGGCCCGAGCTCCCTCCTCGCTCGCACACCTCCCCTCCCCAGAAAGATGTAAGTGCAATAACTTACTTTAAAAGGCAAGAACATTTCTTTTAATATTTTTGCTATAATGTAGTTACATGGTGGTATAGGCAGTAAAACTTTATGGAACTCACCTCAATTTTTTTAACTTTTTTTTCTGACATTTTCACGTATTTTTAATAGATATTTTTAATATTCCACCCCAGGCCATTAAGCTAAAGGAAAAGTTGCATTTATACAGGGTTAAAATATCTTACAGTGAGACAGGAAATGTGGGCTGAGGTCCACGTTCCTTCGCGCACTCCGCTGTCTTAACCACTGCACACCCAAACGGACGATCAACACTGAAACTGCCCTCGAAATCAGTAGTATAAAGGCCTAGCTCTACGCATGACAGGGAAGGGAGACGGAGGAGGGGCGGGTGGGGAGTGTCTCGTTCAATGCCATGGGAGTAGCTTCCCTCTAAGCATCCTGAATGAAGTGGGGTTGGCGTGACTTTGGGAAGTGGAGTTGTCACTGTCTCCCTTGTCAACTGTGTGACCATGATCACCTACGGGCCTGTCCGCCAATGGCCCTCTCCCAGCCAAGTCTGTCTGCCTCTGTCCCCGACAAGCAGGGCCACCCAACACACCCGCGGCCCCAGCTGTCCTCTGGTGTCCCCACATGCAGCCCAGGGAGTGAGGGACCACGGACACAGGGCGCCTGATATGGCCATGGAAGCCTCCTTGGTCTCCCCAGCAGAAAAGACACGAGGGGGGTGCAGCATGCTCACGGCAGTGGGCCCCTCACGTGTGCTGCGTCCCGTCCGTTGCAGGCACTTTAACCTGCCCACCAGGTGGGCATCAAGTAGGGTCACGAGGGTTCAGGGAAGGGGGACTCTAGGCTCCCAGGCCTGGAGACACTGCCCACTCCATGGCCAGCTACCACCACGTCACGGTCAAGTAGCCACTACTGTGGAGATGTCAGGCAAACGGCAAAGGGAACGCTTAGCCCTGCTGCTGGCTGGCTAAACGGGGAGCCACGCCTCAGTGGGATCTTTTCACCACTGCCGTGGGTCTCGGTCCCTTAGGAAGCCAGTGGCCACTCTTAGGGCTGCTGCAGCTATCCCTGCTGGAAGGAACCAGAGTCCCCGTCCCCGACCTCTGGAGCCTGGGCAGCAAGGCCCTGCTCCTGTCTCAGCAGCCTGGGTCACTCTGCTCTGGGTGAGGGGGGTGACTGAGATCCTTTCCAACTCGGTGACCCTCTGGCCCTGGAGGTTAGGACAGGCCAGGAGTGAGGCCAGGGGTGAGTAGCTGCCTCTGGGGAGAGGAAGGGGGATATCAGACACCAGCATGCACAATCATGAACCTGTCATGGCTTCGTTGGGGAAGACAGCTGTGGCCACCCAAACATTCTTCTCAAAATTTGGGGTTGACATTTGCATGACTGGGGTCTGGCCGGAAAGCAAACATACAGAGGAACTAAGTGTCTCTAAAGGGGTCCCTTCCAGAAGATTCTACCAAAAGCCCTCCTTCACCTGCCTCTTCTGGCCGTCCCGGCTCTTTGTACTGACTTTTCCTGGGTGAGCAACTCCCTCCCAAGTCCTCCCTCGCCAAGAGGGCCTTCAAGAAGGAACCAGGCAGGCCCCCACTTTCCCCACCCTTCCTGTCCCTTGCCAGACTTGGGGGTAACAGGTTACCTCAGTGGACCTCAGAACCAGAGCAGGATTCCTGAGAGTCACTCCAAGATCCTCAGACATCTGAAAGCCAGCCCTCTGGGAGCCCTTCTCTCCTGTGTAAGATCAACTCAAACGCTAGGGTCCACAAGAGGGTCTGACTCTTGCTAGGGAAGGCGGGGGTCAAGGGCAGGCATCAGAGAGCCCCATTTCCTTTCTGCAGGCCAGGAGCCTGGCTTCAGGAGGCAGAGAGGAGTGCAGAACTGTGCCCCGGGAAAGCAGCAGCGGTGGCTCTCTGAGAGCACGTGGAAGGACACACAGAGCACAGCACTGCCCACCAGGCCTGGGGCACACAGAGTCCCCAGCCACCAGGCAGGACACTGTGCCGAGGTGGCAGACGGGTGGTCAGTCTGAGGATGGAAGGGCTGTCCTGCCTTGAGCCTGAGCACGGCCCCACGTCCCGACAGCCTGGGGACAACGCTCCTGACCCCTGCTGCCGAGGCCCCAGCCCTAGCTTATGTATTCCAAGTCATAAGTCCTTTCGCTCCAAGAGTGATGGGGTGGGAGACAAGGAAGGCACAGGCACCCCAGGTCATCCTGCAAGGCCCGGGGAGACTGCAGCTCCAAGCAGATGGAGGACAGAGCCACCCAGACCTCCCGGTGAGGAGATGCCACCTCGGCACAGCCTTCCTCTCTCCTGGAGCTTCTCCTCCAGCGTGCTGTGGCACTGGGGTATCTGGCTCCTCCCTGTGTCCGCCAGAACCAGCCTCAGACACCAGGGTCTGGACACCTGCCAGGAGGGCAGAGGGTCCCTGGCCCCCACGCCTCCCTGTGCCGCTAGGTGTGTCCGCACAGGGGCATCCGTGCTGCTGTCGGTGGGGCCCAGTTTGGTGCCTGGGGCCAAGGAGGCAGAATTCGTGTGCTCTCAGGGAATGGGAACAGGAGGCTGGGTCTGCAGGGCAGCTTGCTCCTCAGGCACACAGCCATGGCCCGGTGACCAGGGGAACCCCACCAATAAGGGACAGCTGGCCCAGACCAGGTTGTCATTGCTGCTGGCTCTGGAGGGGGGCTAACTTCGATGCAAGGCCAAAGTGTGGGTGGAGGAGCACACCTGTGGTTCTTGGCAGACACAGAGCTGCAGGACTGGGCACCACTGCCAGGGCCTGAGAGCACAGGTCGCTGTCTCTGTGCCCCTCCCTCCCACAGTCCTGGGGCTTCAGACTTGGGATGGCTGAAAGTGCTGAGGGTCAGGCCCCTGGGCCAGGCCAGGTTCCTAAGAGGAAAGTCGAGTGGGAGGCTGGGGTCCTGGGGAGCGAGGGCGTGGTGGGCACGGGTGGGAAGGGCCCTGTCATGTGGCCCAGGAGATGGCCGCGCTGTGCTCCTTGGCCTTCATGCGCAGCGCTGCGATGCTCGAGGTCTTGCGGTCCGGCTCCCCGTTCAGCTCGTAGCCGTTGAGGCCGGGGCTCAGGCCCGCTGCTCCGAACAGGCTGCCCACATGCGTCTGACCCACGTGCCCGCCGGCCCCAGACACGCTCAGGAAGTCGGTGACGCTGCTG